CTGAAAAAGAAATCATTAATAGCCAAAGCTACTGTTGTAGCTTCCTGATTTGGTATTGCATAAGCCTCGGGCCATTTGGTGAAATAATCCATCACCACACAAATGTACCTATTTCCAGCACGAGTTTGGGGCAAAGGACCAGCAATATCAACAGCTACTCTTTCCATTGGTGCACCAATTTGATATAACTTCACTGGAGCACGTCCCTTATGCTTGGGTCCCCTTTCAGCACAACATGTAATGCAGGTTCTGCACCATTCTTCCACATCTTGCCTCATACCTATCCAGTAAAATCACTGTCGTAGGTGACTCAATGTCTTCTTAACTCCGAGATGTCCTCCTGTTAAACTATCTTGGGATTGACACAGCACAACTTCCCTTAACTTCCTCGGTATAACCGTTTGCCAGGTCGTCACTTTCTCATCTGCAGTTCCCATCTCGGAGAAGAATACCATGATCAAGCTTCAACTGGTCCCATTGTGCCCAATAGTTCTTTGTTACAGGGCTTAAGCTAGACACCTTCTCCCAAGCAGGGTGCAAAACACTTGCTTTTAGAAAATCAACTATTGGCTTCAAATCTTGATCTTTTCTCCTGTTCTGTTTTAATATCTATATTTGGTTCCACTTCACCATCATCAACTCCTTCAGTCACTTTGACTTCAGCTTGATGACACCTGGTTAGCTCAACCTCTCTTTTAACTCTTAATGAAATTTGGCCTTTGTTGTTCCCAAACGTAATTTTATCGAAGTTAACTACACACTTCTTTGGTAGTAAGTAGTCCAACCCTAATATGCATTGGTCTTCAATGTCTGCCAAGTATACTTTGTGTCTGTCCTTCATGCATATGAGCTCAATAGTCACCCACACTGGTCCCCACAACCTTTCATAATGTCCTGTCACACCACAAAGCTTCTGTATGGCTTCTGGTACTCCTTTGTGATCTAGCATCTTGATACTCACAAGGGTTTGCTGAGATGCAGAATCTATGATAAAGTTGCACTTTTGGCCATCCAGCTTTCCTGTCGCGTAGACACTATGTGTACTTTGCATTTTACACCTAACTGTTGGTACTTTCATGGTGGGAGTTGGTAGGCGTTCCTAAACATGAACCACTATTGATTTCCCGGAAGCTGACTTAATGTTAGTATTCTTCTTACACTGGCTTCTCACATGTCCTTGCTCTCCACAGTTCCAACAACCTTTCTGGGTAGCAGCCTTTCCTGCTGTGGCATCTTCCCTGTGTTGAAGTTGCCAACATTGAGCTCTCTTGTGCCCAGGTTTATTACAGTGCCAGCAAAGTCCCTCAAACCTCTCTGAAAGCTGCCCTTTTCTGGCTTTGAATCCTGATGACTGTACCAACCTTGATACCTCTGTGCTGGACTTAACGTAGGATTCAAATTCAAGAGCTCTGGCCATTGCATCCTGCATAGTAGAGGGGTGTGCTTGCTTTAGTTGTATCTTCAGTTGTGGTCTGTCTAAGGCATCTACAAACTGATCCCTCAGCAACAAGTTGAGGACATCGGGTGCCGCAGTTGGGTAGGCCTTGTGTGCCATACTTTCCAAATCCTGTGCCAGCTCTTGCAGGCTCTTCCTCTTAGCACGTACTCTCGTCCTAAACTTAGCCCTGTAGACTTCAGACTGATTTTAGGTTCCATACCTGAGTTCTAGAGCAGCTACCAGTGCTCTATAGTTGTGCTTGTCATCTGCTGACAACTGTCCAAGTATTTATAGTGGTTGTCCCTTTTCTGTCAACGAATCAGTTTCTGCTCCTCTGTCCATCCATTCATCTCTGCCAGGAGCTCAGATTGTGCTCTATATGCTTCCCACGGTGCCTTCCCATCGAATTCCTATGGCTTCCTTCGTACTAGATCACCCCCTATTGCTGACATTCATATCTGGGATGTGACTTCTAACAGGACTGAAAATGTCTGCATTAGGGTTTAGCTGCGGGGTCTGGAAGGGGTTTGCCGTTGTCTGGGGCTGATTAAGTGAATGGTTAATATATCCTCCTTGTATAAAAGACAATAAATCATCCTTTAATGTATTTAATTCGCTTTGAAATTTACTCATGTTTTCCATTTGTACTTCTTGCCATTGTTGTTTACTTTCCTGTAGTTGCTGCTGACTTTCCTGCAACTGTTGGATACTTTCTTCCTGTTTCCTTTCTTGTTCCAGTTGCCACTGCTGTAATATCTCTTCTTGTTTATTTTCTTTCTCCTCCAACCACTGCTGTAGTCTATCTTGTTTATTTTGCTGTTCGAGTTGCCACTACTGTTGTCTCTCTTCTTGTTTCTTTTCTTTTTCCTCAAACAACTGCTGTAATCACTCTTCTTGTTTCTTTTCTTTTCCTCCAACAACTGCTGTAGTCTTCTTTTCTTGCTTATTTTCTGGTTCTTCTTGTTTCTTTTGCTGTTCTTGTATTGCTGCCATCAAATCTGCTAAGCTGTAGTTTGATTTGCCGCTTCTCGTTTCCATCTTCTTTTTTTTTTGTCCCACTCTCTGACACCAATTTGTTACATCTCTGTTCGTTTGATAATTTCTCGTAAAAATTCTTCCTGAGGAACTTCAGCGATACAAGCCCTTTCTTAAATGAAACTAGTTTATTCTTCCTCAATACAACTTTGCAATACACAGAATTTCCATAGTCATTTTAACTTAAACACACGCTATAATTCACAACGATTTACTCACTTTACTACGGCTTGACTA